GGAGCAATAGCAACAGCAGAAAATTTTTTATTCTTGCCATGAAGCTTATGGCCAATGGGGTACCCATTTAATTTGTAACATTTTTCAACAGAATGGCCAGTCATATTGCAATGGGTACACAAACGTGGGGTTGCATTTCCTGCTTTGAAGCAATTCTCAAAAAGTGACATTGGATTTTGCAATGAGTGCAATATGGACGACTTGATTTCTGGGCTATAGAGTTATGAAATTTCTGGGCAAGTTTGGGAAAATGAGGGTTGGTCTTAGCCATCATGGCCATGAGATCAGGATTAGAGGTTTGGGTAAGCATGAGATGTTGTCGTTCTTGCTACTGAAGCATGGAAAAAACTCGGTTAAGGAGGGGAAGGGGTTCAAGAAGCATCATCTGATCTCTTGAAGGGGAATAAGAATCAGATAAACCCATTAGAAACTGTATGACACAATCACGATCATATCGATCATTTAAGATTTTCAGCTTGCCACAATCACACACAGGTATGGGGTCATAGATAGCCAATTTATCCCATAAAACTTTTAAGCGACCAAAAAAGGTGCTAATGAAATCTTGACCTTGAGAGAGGCTAGCAAGATCCCGTTTGAGTTGAAAAATGCGAGAACCATTTTGTTGAGTAAAACTGTCCTGAAGTTCAAGCCAAAGAGTGTGAGAATCATCAACCAAAGCAAGACTGGTTTTAACAGAAGAACTTATAGAATTTTGAAGCCATGAGACGACTAAATCGTTGCAACGTTCCCATGCTTCAAAAATTGGATCATTGGCATCACATGGTTTAGAAAGGGTCTCATTGATGAAACCAAGCTTGTTCTTCGCTCGAAGAGCACGACTAACAGCTCTAGACCAACTGACATAATTGTCAGCAGTTAAGAGATCAGAAACTAAGGCAGCAGCGGGATTGTCACCATTGTCGATGCGAAAGGGGTTGAAAGGATCTGAAAAATTGAGAAACCTTTCGTTAGGGTTTTTGGGAGGAGGTGTTTTAGGATCGGTATTTTCAGAGCTAGATTCGTTAGGATTTTTGGGAGGAGGTGTTTTAGGATCAGTATTTTCAAAGCTAGACATGGTGAGGGTTTTGGATTGAGGGGAGCTCTGATACCGTGTAATAAAATGAAGAATAGAGAAGAATCTTCTGTAACAAGATGAAGAACAGAGAAGAATCTGTTGTAACAAGATGAAGAACAGAGAAGAATCTGCTGTAACAAAATGAAGAACAGAGAAGAATCGTCCAGGAAGATGGAGAGAAAAATGTTCTCTGATATATTTTTAATTAACTATACATAGCTGTCTATATACTATTACAAAGGAATCTTCTAACAACCTATAAAGGGGAAAATACATTATTGTCCCTCTGTATAACTCAGCAAACAGAAATGCAGAAAACAGAATGTACAGCAAACCAAAATAAATAACAGATTCCAAAGTCTCTAGTGGTCATAAAAACTCCCTCTTCCTATCGTCGAGCATAGAACCAGGACTTTGATTATAATGATTTGTAACATAAGGTAGGGGTCCGTCAAAAGAATAATGAAATCATCCTTCTTCAATAATGGACACGTTCCCTTTGTGTGAATGTGGTGTATTATGCTCCAATACAAACCAATGAATCATCTTATAGTGCAATCCGGAATAGGTACCGATGATTGGTCACGGAAAAGAGATAACTTTGGATTAGAAGGTTCAACAATCGGTTGTACTAAATCGTTACATTTGCTACTATCACTTGCAAACTAATAATTAGAGACTACCTTCTTGTATTTACAGTCTGCGTGATGAAGAGAGGAATGAAAGAGTTGACGTTGTTCTAACAAAAAGTAAGACATTATCATCCTCGATGTCGTAAGACATTCTATTGATTGTATCCTTGGGTTTCATATATAGTTATTTAGATAGTATTCCTTCTACGATCTATGCCTAGACGTTTGCTCAACAACTCAACCAATCCATTTTACATCAGGGTGGATTTTTAAGTATTTTTTGTTTTCCTCCAAATTGTGCTATCATTCGTCGTTGTTTATTGCTCTCCGTACCCAACCAAAATAACCACATCTGCCATTGTAATGAATCTTGCGACATAAATAAAACAATTTCTCTCTCGAGAGTACTTCCATTAACTATCAATGTAGACAGTTAAAAAAATCAAACAAAAATCGTCACAAACTACCTAGTGCACAAATGTAACAATATACAGATTTTAAGTTAAGATCAAAGTGTTACCTTGATGTAGTGATTTCCTATGTCCTTTTGCAGGCTTGATCTTGTGTTTATGGTGTGGGAGTTTGAAGATGATAGTGAATAAATGTGAGTTCAGTTGGTTAAGTATTTGAAGGTTAGGATGAGGGTATTTTCGTATTTATATGAAGAAGTTGGTTATATGTGTATAAGACTTAGGCTTTTGGTCAATATTTATAGCCCCCCGGAGCTTTAATTATTTTTTTAAAAACCCTGATAATTTTCTCTTATTTACCAAATAATTGGAAGATGGTTGATAATTTGATAAATTGGAATTGGTTTGAGATTAAAGTTGTTGAGCTATACAAATTCACAACATCAACACCATTTTAAGTTAATAAAACATAACCACATTGGGAGGGGTGTGGTGGGTTGTAATCACTTCGCCCTCTTCCCTTTTATATTAATTAATTATATAGGATCAATCTACTTCTATCTAGGAGTGTTCAAAAGTGGTTAACCAGTTCTTGAATCGAACTGTTTTTTCAGTTCAGAAAAATTCCTGGACCAAATCGAACAGTTTAGGAGAAAACTTGTTTTAAACCGGTTTTTCTCTTAAATTGGATTAAACTTTTCTCAAATTAAATTGTAAACATCAACAATACATATCCAAATAAAAATTAAACATTCATACATATCTATTGACCACAGCTAATAATACATTAAAAATTGATACAAATAAATTTAATTTTTATTTAATTTTAATATATAATATCCATTAAGATTATTATTTTTATTTTTATTTAATATATAATAATATGTTTTAGTAAACCGGTTAGTAAAACCGGTTTGCATTTTCACCCAAACTAGAAACCGAACCTTAAATCCTGTTTTTTGAATTCTTTGAACCGTAACCGAACTGGTTTTTCGATTCAGTTTTTAAATTTTTTTTAATACTCCTACTTCTATCCATTACGTTTCTTCTCCATTTTTAAAAACTTTCCTGAAACTACAATACTCAAATATAAACCAATATAATTTGTAGTTAACTTGTATAATAAAAGATGAAATTCTTTAAAACTATATGTAGGTGAGAATGACTTTTTGAACACCAAATCACGTCTTGCAAATTTTTTTAAATTATCTTAGATTCCAGAGAATTCTAAACGTATAAAGAAGTCTCTGGCTGATAACAATGTTTTTCTGTAGTGACAAAAAATCTGTAAAATTAAAAAATAATATAAGAACAAGAGTGAATATGGAAATTACGTAACATCCATGCTTAGAATATGGAGCTCAACTCTCATTACAATCAAGGGCGGACCCACATGGGTCGCGTGGGGGTCAAGTGACCCCACTTGGGTTTTTTTTCTTCTAATTTTGTTCAATACAAAAACTAAATTACAAAATTACAGTAAATTAAATTAATTAAAAATTTTGACTTTCTCTAATAATACCTTTTCTCATTTTTTCTCCAATCCCAACTTTTTCTCTTGTCCAACGTGTCCCGCTCCATCTCTCCAATCCCTATTTTTCTCTAATAATATTTTAAAATTTATGCAATCATTTAATTTTGTGTTTAGTCTATTTATGATGGAAGATTTACTTAGTTTTACAAATAAATTTTCTCAAGCACTAAAAAAAAAAAAAAAAAAAAAAAGATCAAGATATTGTAAATGCTATGAATTTGGTTGAAGGGTGTAAGCAAGCTTTACAATTGATGAGGGATAGTGGATGGGAGAATTTACTTAACAAAGTTTGATCTTTTTGTGCCAAACATGACATTGATATTCCAAATATGGATGACAAATTTTTTATTCAAGGGCGATCACAACGGAAGCCTAAAGATATCACAAACGTGCATCATTACCGTATTGAAGTATTTTAGTGTCTTAGATATGCAGTAATCGCTTCAATTAGGTAAACATTGAATTACTTATTTGTTTGGCATGTTTATGTCCAAATGAAAATTTTGTTGCTTTTGATGAGCAAAAATTGATGCGTCTTGCTTAACTTTATTTAGAAGATTTTTCTAGCTTAGAACTCATAGTGCTTGATTCTCAATTTGATATTTACATTTTGGATGTACACTCTAATGTCAAATTTATGGAATTGAATGGGATTGAAGATCTTGCAAAAGTGATGGTTGAAACTAAGAAGGATAAAGTGTTTTTATTAGTTTATATGTTGATAAAATTAGCATTGATTTTACTGGTTATCACTGCTCGTGTAGAATGATTGATTAATGGTTGAATACTTGAATGATAGTTTAATTGTGTATGTAGAGAAGAATATACTTGATAGTATTGATAATGAAGTCATTATACAATATTTTCAAAAGATGAAATCTCGTCGATGACTATTATAAATATATTAGTTAATATGAATTTTATTAATACAAATATTTGTGTTTATATATTTTATATTTATGTTAATTATTATTTTACCTTTTGAACCCCTAAGTTTCATTCCTGTGTCCGCCCATGATTACAATGATGTAAACAACTAATTGTTTACCATAGAATGAGGAAAGAGAATTCAAGAAATTGCAAATGGTCAAACGAAATTACTTGAGCTATACGTTTTCTCTACATCAATGCAATTTCAAGTTAATAACTACAAGAAAGAGATATAAGGTTGAGAAATGAAGATGCTAATCCTGATAAAGAAAAGATATTTGATTCACAGGTCTATAACCATAAAACAACTCATTGCATGTACAGAACAACTATTTAAGATGAATTTTCCTTTCATAAACTTGTAATTATAGTAAAAATTTACAATTTAAGAAGTTAAAATAAAACATTATGCTGCTGCATTCTGATGAATAATAACAAAGTATTTATCAAATTGAACTTGTATCCTGTCGAGTTGCAAATAGAATCTCCCTCTCAACCAGCCCGATCATCTCCTTCAGCCTATTAGAAAAATTCTCAGTTATGTTTCGAGTAATTCGCTGCTGGAATTTGGTGCTTTTCAGCCATGTTATCCCTATATAAACCGCACACTTGCATGCATTATGTGCAAGGGCAGACTTCTGAATCTCATATTTGAAATGAACCTGCATTTCAACAAACAAATTAAACAATCATAAATCAGGATAAAATGAATCAAAGCTAATTCAAAAAATAACAATCACATCAACCAATAGTCGATTTCTACATACACGGAAGTGATCATCAAATGGGACATCGTGTAATGACATGATCTCATTCACAAGCCACCCTTCATCATTTGCCAGGGGAGACTTTCGTTGTCTGCATGTTACTTCCCCTCCAAAGATTGAGACATGGCGACTGAATCTGTAAGACACATGTCGTTCAGAAACACCTGAGTTTAGGGGCTCCCATGAAGTATTTGTATAATTAAGACAACCAGATTTTTCCATTACTTTATGCTCCAACATTCCTCCGTCAAACATCTCCATTAGTGCTTTTATCTGCAAATTGTCAAACACATTTTTGGAACCAGTCTTTACATCTGGTTTTAAATTAGATAAACTAAAAATTCCCAAATCTCGTGCTCTAATGGTGAAATTTCTCTGCACTCAATTTCATTTGTTGATACATGATGAATAACATATAGTTTGGACTTTGTTTAAGACAATTGTATGCTCATAGGTGCATTGAGTTGTTTTATGAAGTAGATGAGAAGAAAAGTGACTTACGTTCATGGGCAGTTCAGCAAAACAAACCCTGGACATTTTTGCATCTTCAACATCCAGAAGCGATCCAGCATCTTCCAGCATGGATACTTCTCCATCCTGCTGCTCTTCTGCAATTTGTGCTTTCTGATCCGGGGTGAGTGTTCTCGTTCTCCACAAGGCCATAATTGTCCTGTTTTTACAGCATGATGAACCATCACACAAATAAATACACCAAGGCAATATGTAAACTGTACTTTATTACTATTGTTGAAAGCTGATAAACTGAAGCATTCCATGCACTAACACCTGCTGGCTTCATTGAATGAAACAAAGGATTGAAAATAGAATCTAAGCCTGCCTTCTTCATCATGGGACTTTGCTCCATGCCTTGCATCAAGACCTCGATCCTTCCGCAGAATAATGACCAACGAAGGGCTACCTACAGATGAAAGTGAGGGAGGAAGCACTTGGATGTCATGGATATCCTCCCAGAGAAAGAAAAATTTGGTTTTATGGCCAAATAAATTTGCATAAAACCCAACAATCCTTGCAGATAGAAACAGCCGGCCCTGGAAAAAAAAAAAGTATTCTGAACTTTTAGTAGTGGATCTTCTTAAAAGGTTGATAAAAGGGAACTAATCAGACTCCTTGTGATTTTTACACCTCACATTCTTTTCATAACATCAAAACAAAGTCCAAAATTCAGTTATATGGAGATCATCGATGTATCTTCGTAAAATAATCTTCATTATATTGTTCATGATCTAGCCAGTTACTACTATCCATCAAACTTAATCAGGCCATTATGCCAAAAAAAAATTAAATAAAATAAAAAATTGGAGCATCATTAATCAATTTCCATATCATGCAAATTAAACTAAAATCACAGTAAAGGGGCTCGTTTGCCCACCCACAATGTCCGTCAACAATCTGATTTTATAACAGTAATCCAAAGATCCATTCAGTTCAAGAATATATGTAATAATTAATGAACCCATAACTGGCACCTGCAAAGGCATTTTTCTCTTCAGGTGGCATGTAAAGTCACTGATTAGAAATTCTTCTGGTGGCAGTGCGAACAGTTTCTGGAAAGTTGAATTCTTATAAGGTGACCGTAGATTCAACTGTCAATCACACAAAATAGAATTAGATAAAGATTCTTATATTTCTTCTTTTAAAGAAGAAAGGAAAAAGCTAAAAAATCTGTTCAAGCTAAAAAATTGTTCCCCGGTGTCAGAATCCATACGCCTGCTAGACACAATCAAGAAGGCAAAATATATTACTATCCGGATTTATCAGTTGCAGGACTAAGCGAAAAATGATAGCAAGAACCAATGAAATGCTATTTCAAATAATCATTAATATATTGGGACTGAGGGTTCACCTTCTTTCCAACTTCCTTTTCCATCTTTGTTAAATATTCTTTAACTGTTTCAACTCCTTTCTTATTGTCCAAAAAAGTTCTCAAACGTAACTTTGACTGAGAAGACTGAGCAAGCTTCCCCTCAAGGGAGACCCACATATCTGCCAGATCAGTAGATGTGTGTTTCAAGAAATTGATCTCAGCATGCCCAAGGGAAGTGGCCTGGTCAAATGGACCATCAAAATCAAAAACTTCTACATCCAGAACTGATGGTGGTTCTTCCATAGCATCAAACTCAAGTATATCTGCATAATATCTTCTTACTGGATAAATCGAAATTATGATACAGAAAATATAATTCAATGAGCAAAGAAAGGGCTTACCATTCCATTGAGGATCACAAGTCTGAAGCTTCACCGAGCTTGTTCTTGTCTTACCATTGCAGGTGAAGACAACATAAGGATCAGGCAAACCCGTCAATTCCAAGGATGCTAAATTGACCCCTTCTATTAAAGCCACAGTAAGAACCCATCCTTCACCTTGGGCTTTAACTCCATGATCACTTCCTGTTGAAATAGATGGGCAATATAAGTGAATCCTGGGACAGTTACAAAAAGTGAGACTAAGGTAAAAGTGTTTGATCTGGATTTGGTAATAACATAAATTTGAAATAGTGCAATTAATGTTTTACCTCTTTGCAACCTAGCTTGTACAAAATGTGAGATCATGCTATAAACACGCTCCAATTGTATCACTAAAAATCCGCAAGTGATAAGCTCTCCAAAACTGTCAGGCAATTCAAGTCCATAAAATTCCAAACCTTGGACTTTGTTAGGTTCACAAAGCAGAATGTGCACTAGGACATACAAAACAAAAAAAGTGCCAGAAACTACAGTGAAATTCCAAAAGTATTCTACTGCTAATTCCCAATCAGACTGGTGTTCTGTTTCTAAAGTTGCCAGCACATGATCTTTGTCTAGTATGTCTGTGGAATCTGAAATCTTATGAGTCTTCGCCAGCAGGTTGGCAAAATGGTCAAAATTCTCCTTCATTCCCTGCCTAACTCCTCCTTCAATCATACTTCTCATCATTGTGGTTTGGTGGAAGTTAATGCCCCAAGATATTATGAGGCGACATGAGTCTTCTCCTGAAGGTAGCTCTGGTCCAGGCATTAGTTTGTATAGCAACTCTATATTAAATGTATTTCCGTAAGGAACATCTGGTGTGCTTACATTCATCAAGATGGCAAATTCCCGTCCATTAGCTCTAATATAGGTTTCCTGTTCTGTGGCTTTTACAGCCTTAACCAACTTTGTTGCAGCGTTCATGTAGGACACAGTACGCGTTAAACAAGACATGTCTCCTGACTTCCAAACCCAAGGGCCCTCTTGTATATCTGTTGTTCCCTGGAGTTCTGCCAGGTCTCTCATGAACTGCGAATCTGGTGCAAAAAGAAGTTTGTTGAGATCAGATGGGGACACTAGATATACTTGATCAAGAAGAATACCTCCCTGGAGGTTTTCTGGCATTTCTTTTGTACTGTCTCTCGACTGCATCATCTTCATAGCTTCTTCAAAGCTATGACAAGAGGGATGTTCCTCCACAGAATCCTCATAATCTGATGGCACACCTGAAGAATCCCCATTTTTTGAGGCTTCCCCATTCTTATGAAAAACCTTCTCTAAACGGCTTACAATAGCCTTCATTAAGTGTTTCCCTTCTGCTATATGTAACGTCGGAGCCTTTGAGCTGAATACATCATGAGATAACACGCATGGACCTTCAAACTCTATGAGGTCTTCAGCATTGACATTCGAATGCGGGCTAAGGAGGCTGTTAGAGGAAGCGTCATGCCCTTTACCGCCTAGACACATACTGAGAAGAAGTTTGCCTGCATACATTGGACCAAACCAATATTAGATAATATGAACCAAATGCTAGAAAATGTTTTGTGTCTTTGAGTCATATGAAGCATATTTATGTGAGGGAAGGAGACCATTAATTTTGAAATTTTAAATTTCCCTTGAATCAAACCAATTTGAAACTTTTTTCGCCAAATCCTATAAAAACAAGAACAAAATCTTTCTATTTTCATGGAATGTTGAAATGCTAAGATTCCTCCTTCACAAAGTTAGCCTATATCAATTTAGTGTGTACAGTAAGTATACTAGAACCAATATGACAACTGTGAACCATATATTTACAAAGTCTTCATGGCAATTATTTCTGTGATTATCAAATGAACCATTTCATGCTACACTACGACTTCAACATTTCATAAACCGCAATTAAAATTAAAATTGTAGTACATTGAAGTAAATCGAAGTTTGAATTAAAAACAAACACAACTACGTATATAAGCAGGGAAGAAACACTAACCGCAATCTTTATCGTTAAACTTGCCAGTCTTTGGCTTTTCAAGGGAGAACCAAGTGGGTGGCAGCATCTGATTCTCTTCTCCAGCAACTGACCAAACGGGGACCCGAACCCGACCCATGAGTTCCCCAGAGAAATGAAACAAGCCAGAATCATCATCATGGTGAAACATAGACAAAACCACCTCTTCATCATGAATATCATGAACCCTGAAAACGAACTCTTCATTCCAAACAGGGTTGCTATTGTTCCTCAAAATCCTAGTTTTAGACTTGTACATGCCAAGTTGAAGTTTCACAAAAGAATCACGTGCAAGCAAGTCTTTTGCTTGCAGCACATACACGTAGAGCCTCATGGTGACAACAAAACTCAAGCGTTAGCAGCTTTAAAGAACGCAGCAAAAGAGAGTTGGAAAGATAAGTTGGTTTGAATAATAAGTTTTAAAAGTTTGGAGACAAAGAATGGTCTTGGCTGTTGATGATTTATGGAGAGAGACAAAAAGTGAGGATGAAGGCATTGTGAAAACGTGGACAGAAGTTATGAAGGACACGAGGAGAAGTGAGTTTTAAAAAAAAAATAAAAAAAAAAAAGAAGGGATGCAGAGAGAAGAAAATATAGAAAACTGTAGAGGAAGATCGGTGGTTTTGGCTTGCGTTATAGGGAATGTGGGCTTATTTGCTTCTTGAAAGCGGTTACGTCAGCTTAACTTTAATGGGTCTGCGTTTGTTGAATTAATTAATTAATTAATTCGAAGCTGTTATTTGAGATTTTCCATGACTGGCATGATCACAAGAAGAAGATGGAGACTGCTTTTTGTAGTGGAAGATATTAGATACTTGGCATTGTTGATAAAAAAAAATAAGGTATGAAGATGATTAGGATTCAGTTATCGAAATTGTTAGTCTAATTAGCTTAGATCAATCAACTCGGCAAGTTAGAAGATATTAGTTACGCGATTGGGCAAAAGTTCCTGGCTTTAGGTGGTGTTTGGTTGTCCAATGACACAATGAAATTCATCAACTTAAAACTATTTTTTATCTGACATCTATTATACTCTGGTAAGAGATATTTCTTTTTCAATATTTACTAATATTCGTTTGAGAACTCAAAATTAGACTATTTTGAGTTAACGAATCTCATCTTGACTATCTCTTATCCTTGCACATGAATAACATATGATCAAACCGACTTATTACACAAGATATGATTAGTCTCGTGTTTATACATCATATGAATCATACGTATCCTATGTTGAATCCAACCATAATGTCTCAGATCTAAGGATCAATGGTATACTAGTACAATCCTACGATACATCATTGACCATATTCACGTGATTCATTATAATCGGTCGTATTCGATAAACAATTCACTAACTATTTATCCATACTAATGTCTTAGTAACATACCTTTTATAATAAGTGATTGTGATATAACCTTAACCCGTGGCCGGGCCAAACCTATCCTAGTTCCCAAACAGACCCACTATCGAAGATCGTAAATCCTTAATCTGGAGCGCAGAGGGAGAGTGTAAAAAGTGAGGGATAGAGTGAGAGAGATGTTACAGTTCCCGGCGTTCATGAGGCAATACCCATCGTCGACGAGGACGATACCTTCTTCGTTTTTGCTTCCATCTCAGTGGCCGCAACCTCACAGTGAAGAATTCCTTATCGCCTTGGAAGAATCGGAATTCGAAGACAAGGTATCCATTTTTTTTTACAGAATTTAAATAAAACACACTCTTTATTTTCTAAACCATCAATAATGCTATTCGTAATCTATTTCACATCGTCATAGTGATGAAAACATGCTAGGAGCCTATGATAGTCGTTATGGTTCAAATTATGCCGGCATAAGTTATCAAATATCAGGTTGAAGTTGAATTTGCAGTTGGGTATTGATTAGTCATTAAAAAAGAATTCACTTTTGAAGCCTTTGGTTTATACTGGTTAGCTTCTTTAGGCAGTTTTTTGGTTTTCCTCCCAGAAGTGGATTTTTTTTTTTTTCTTTTTATCTATGAATTTGGAGGATTTTGTAGGCTTTGAGCTTTTTTAAGGTAATCAAAGTTGCTATCCAATAAATGCTTGTCTTTATTTTGAGTTGATGCTAGGGAATTTCAAACTATGGGCTAGGAGATTGGACTGACTGTAGATCATTGTTTCTTCATAAATTAATGATGAGGATGATTGGGCATGCCTAGAAATAGTAAGCACCAGAATTAAAATGAGGATATTAGTTGGGTATCTGATATGAACAAATAATTAAAATTGAAGAGAAGTTATGCTTTGAAGTGCTGTCAGAACTCAGAAGTTAAATTACAAATGATGTCTTCTTCGAATCAAATGTTGGCAGATCAACATTAAGATTGATATCAGTGGCTGGCAAAAGAGAATCTCACGGTTGTTAGGTTTTTATGAGTCTTAGCTGAACTTCAGGTGTTTTCACCATCACTTATATTATATGAGCCTGGTTGGCTATCTAAAGAACTAATTGAAGCTGAGAAAGGAACTTATTAATACCTTAAATATTGGAATTTGAAAGTTGTGAATCGGCGAGTCTGACACACTTTTAAGTTCGTTTATGGCTTCCATGGCTGTGAATTAAAAAAACTGGTGAGATTTTTTATTATTTTTCGCTATTTTCCCTTCAAAAACCACGACTCTGAGGTATCAAATTCTTTGGTTTTAACTAGGAAACTGACCTCTAGGCTGACTTTTACAGTGATATATTGGCATTAAGATTTAGAAGTAGGTATTACTCTCTCTTGTTAATCTTTTAAAATGAGTTAAAATTTTTTATCTTAGTTTCTTATCTTCACTTCTTTTGAAGCATTAAGGTCGAATCACATTACTGTACCGGCCAAAACCTCTCTTCCTTTCTCGCTCTTCTGGAAAAAATGATATGTAATCATCAACTCTGCAATTTCACTGAACCAGTGTTTTGAAATTTAACTGCATATTTAGCATTCAATATGTATATAAAAACTGGAATTGTGATGTGGCTTCTTTGGCATATGTTTAACATTACAAAAACTGTTTCTGTTTTCAATAAAGAACATATGGTGTAGTCCTGTTATTCTGCCATTTGATTATTTTCTATTTCCTTTTTAATTTACCTTGTTAACCTTAGTATGATTGATTTTTTGCAGTGCAATGAAATCAGGAAAATCAACAGCAACCTGATTGTGATTGGGAAAACCACTGTTGATAATGATAAGGAAGACTTTGATAATGATGCAGATGATGATGATGCTGATCACGGAGATGAATCTGAGGGTGAGGAGTTTGAGCAAGAAACTGCTTGAAGATGTTGTGCATTGTTCCTCTTTTCTCTTTGTTTTTTCCTTTTTGAATATTGTTATGTTGTGGCATCGTATTTCATGCGCCCATGCCGCGTTATCTGCCTGAACTGATGTCAGTTATTTCTCCCTCTTTGCCTACTTTTTTAACATACTTGGGTTGTTACTTGGTATATTCTAATAGATGGGAAGAAATGCTAAAGACAAATATTAGAGATTAGATTATTAAAAAGAAAAAGGAAAGAAGAGTAGCCATGGAAGAGAGGGCCTTTTCAAACGTTGTCGTTAAGCTAATTGTTTGAATCCTTGGAACCACCCTTCCCAGAAGAAACATAGGAAATTTATGGAATTTGTCGCCACTTACACTAGTCAAAGAAGGAAAGAAATTTCCTTCTGGGAAGGATTGGTCAATTCCCACCACCTAAAACATTTTGGAGTCTATAAGCTTTATCAATTGTTGACAGTTTTTTTTGGTTTATATCACCTTCAAATCTCAGTTACTTGCCACTTGGTCAAAATCTGTGCTGAATGAAAAGTTCTTCNCGTTATCTGCCTGAACTGATGTCAGTTATTTCTCCCTCTTTGCCTACTTTTTTAACATACTTGGGTTGTTACTTGGTATATTCTAATAGATGGGAAGAAATGCTAAAGACAAATATTAGAGATTAGATTATTAAAAAGAAAAAGGAAAGAAGAGTAGCCATGGAAGAGAGGGCCTTTTCAAACGTTGTCGTTAAGCTAATTGTTTGAATCCTTGGAACCACCCTTCCCAGAAGAAACATGGGAAATTTATGGAATTTGTCGCCACTTACACTAGTCAAAGAAGGAAAGAAATTTCCTTCTGGGAAGGATTGGTCAATTCCCACCACCTAATACATTTTGGAGTCTATAATAAGCTTTATCAATTGTTGACAGTTTTTTTTGGTTTATATCACCTTCAAATCTCAGTTACTTGCCACTTGGTCAAAATCTGTGCTGAATGAAAAGTTCTTCGCATAAAAATCTCCTCTCTTGTAAGGAGGGTTCTTGAACCTTCCCTTCTCCTCTAGGTTGATTAAAGTATGGCCTCAAGGCAACATCTAATGCATGGAGTGTTTATGGCCTAAAGGCAACATCTAATGCATGGAGTGTTTATTCAATTTTTAAAATTTGAGAAGTTAAAGCATTTTAAAGAGTATCTTTCATATAAATAAAAAGCATCTTTATTGATTTTTAAATATAAAAAATAAAATTTTTATTCAAATCTAATAGACTCTTTAAATTTTAGGAGAGAAATTATGTTTTTTCAAGAAAAAAACTTAATAAGAGAGATAAATCATAAATAAAATGTATAAAAATTTGTAATTTATTATTTAAAATTAGGATAGAGAGTAAAATTTAACTGTTTAAATATGAAAAGTCAAATTCATTCTTTAATTTATATTTAAAGAATAAACAGTCAATTAAACTTTTGTTTTTATGGATACTTTTTATAATAAAAATTTGAGTCATTTTAAAAATATTTTAGAGATGCTCTTATATCTCTTTTTTAAGGGAGCCCAATTGTTGTTTTTAATAGCCAACTAGCAAACTTGCCAATATTATTAAGCAAGTTGCGATGCTCATCGTTTGTAAATTTATTTTATTTTATTTTATGTGAGTAAGATTCTTCCTTAGTTTTCTCCTTTCTTCCTGGGTAGTCCAAGAATTTTGTTTAATATGTATTTTTCTTCAGCCGTCAATATCAACACAGTTTGGCTCCTACTAACAAACTTCAAATTCAAAGCATGTGTTCCAGTCCTCCTTCAACAGTTCCACACCCAAAATACACAAAAGCATTAGCTCCTCTTCGACGACCTCTTCTCCATTTGACCTGCAAATCAAATAAAGAAAAAGAAAATTAATTAAAAAAATCAAACGAAACCTTATCACCAACAAATGGAAAAACACTTCCGCTTGAATACTACGTGTTAGCAACGGAGCCGAGCCGACTGACGAAAACCTGTACGTGTCAAACTAACAGGAATTCCTAATTGACGCAGCCAGACTCTGAAGTAACTCCCAAGCCTACCCTGTAACTGCAGTTAAATAACGACAACGTCACGGAAAACAAAACAGCCGTTTTGTTCTTATTAGGCCGTTAACCGAACCCTAACGCTCACATTTGTGCCAAACACGCAGAGATAATTGGAAACCAAGAACAAATATTCAGGCACAAATACATTACCCATATTGAATTAAAAATATTTCCTTTCTTGAATTTACAGTTATAAATTACAATCACACGCTAATATCATCCAAAACTTGTATCAAATTTGTTTTCCGATTGTAATATAATTGTTTTAAATTTATCTGATTCTCTGATTATGATCATGTACTTGTACAGGGGGCTTTCTTTGTCTCAATGTCAATTCCCGTAAGTGCAAGGGCAATACAAGGACCGAAGGTTTCCTTGCGCGTGGATGGGATAGTGAGAAACTTTGCGGTAGGCGGGATATCCAAGCGTCGGGGAAGAAGAACGAGAAGGCTTGACATACCCAATCGTCGGCGAAGAATGCCGAGAAACGCGGACATATCCAAAGGGCGGTGAAGAAGGCTGAGAACCGATGACGTATCCAAACGTTGGCGAAGAAGGCTGAGAACGAGAGCAACGATCTACGGCTGTAAACGACGGTTTAGCTGACGGAAAATCTACACTCGGAGGAGGTGAAATCTGTTTGAGCGATGCTGGAGGTGATAAAATAGCTCTGATTTTTGAACTAGGAGCTGCGCGATCGTATTCTTGCACAAGATTAGTCAAATCCTCGTCGGACTTAATCGAAATTAAGGTATCTAAATCTCCGTTTGGCAACTGACACCTCAGAGTCACGGAAGATCCACAGAACTCTCCCAGTTTCACCATAAGCTCTGTAAAATTAGGTAAAAATTTAAAACCAATTCCTCGGAAAAAAAAAAAAAAAATCACACAAGACTGAACAGACGAGTAGAAATTCAACTTACCAGCAAAGGACACTGAACGCTCAACGGAAAAGACTCTAGTGATACCGCCAACGTAACGGAGCTGACCGTCAGACGAACGAGGCAGGATTTTGCCGTCATAACTGCAAAGAAACTTCAAATTTTCCGAGTTTTTCTTGGACTCGACTTCAATTTCTCTCACCATATTTTTCAGTTTCGTATTTGTGATGTGGATCGTAAGACGAAGAGTAAGTTTAATGTTGAATTTGAGAGGAGAGGAGAGGAGAGAGAAGAGAGAAGAGAGCTGTTTGTTTGAGGCTTGAAACCTTCCGAAGTAAAATTGTTGAATATTTATAGAAGGGGAGAGGTTGGAGGATGACGTCATAGTAGGTCTCACACGCAATGCGGAGGTTAAAAGTCTGTTGGAGATAGGAAACAGAAAGGCAATAGGTTTCATATTCATATTCGGATATTCTTTTCCTCGGTTGAAAAGTATGAAAGTCGAGTGGGGCCTTGTGGTCGCTTACGTGGCCCAAGAAGGCCGCGCCCATGTGCCTTCCTTATTTTCATGGTCCAATAAGGCCAACCTCTTTAATTTAAATAAATAAATAATATTCGATATTAAAAAAATTACATAAATAACATAAACCCTTATATTAAAATTGATAGGCTGATGGTAAAAAAAACAAGAGGATTTTTTTATGAACTTTTGAGTTTGAGTCTCCTCCAACACTAATAACAAATAGGGATAATCACTAGAATTATTAATCGATTAATAGTTTCAAAGGTTTGAAAGATTAATTGACATACATACAAACTGACTCAAATACCATCAGTGATAAAAAATAAATTCTTAAAAAAAATTGTATTCTCATTGATGTTAGTCAACTTGTCTACATATTTCAAGTAGTGATGTTATAAAACATTAATATATTTTCTCTTTTTGTGGCAAAGAAAAAGACATGGAAGGTAATAAGAGAACATTATTTCAAAAGGGCACAAATTCGTGGAACATATTCCGTATCAATTAAAAGATTTATGAGGTAGCATGGTGAAATTAGGAGCCCACATGTTGTATTTGTAGGTAGAAAATGAAATAATTGGAATCTACAAAAAAAGGGTTTCTCTAATCAAATCCGTCCGATCCCAATTAATTTCCATTTTCTAATCTAGCGATCCGTGTTAATGATTCCATTGAGTTATTATGTGGTGAAAACATTGAAAAAGGATCCGCATTAATTACAAGGCCAAGTGGTTTAGTGTTGGAGAAGCCGTTTGGAATAAGAAACCTTCCCGAGATGTACATGTATCAGTATTAGTATGATATTTCAAAGGATAATCCCGTATATTTTAAGCAAAATGACTTTAGAAAATGACCACTTTGTCTTCTTTTTATATCACTAGTGATAATAATCATGTTTTAGATAGATTTATCAAAGATTAAATGGTAATCCCAATTTCAGAAATCTCAACCAAATTAATAACAACCACTTAATTAACCAACCAATTGTTTTCATAAAATAAATTAAATTGCTATTGACTTATTGTTATCGAGAAATAATTGAGACTTAAGATTTATAACGAATTCTACCACCACTAATTATGTTGCCATTTTCATTGTCTAATAAGAAGATTGTCACTTATCGATCGCGTCAGTTCTGCCATCCAACATCACTTCACATTTCAACCTCTTTACAACTCTTAGGATCATCATCCACCAAAACTATATTATATATTTATTATATACGATGATAATAAATTTACTCATGAATTACTCTATTATATTATTACATATTATCTTTATTTTAATTCAAATTTTGAAGAATTTAAAATTAGAAAAATTAAATTTTTAAATGATATGAAATATAATATTGATAATAATAAAGATTAACCCATAATTCAATCTCATTAACTTTCTCTCCTAATTCTGATGTGACAGTTTATAATTGGATAAGTGAGACCTATTGCAAGCTAACCAATTACAAATTGATATGTCAGAGTTCTGAAAAAAAGTTTGTAATATTGAATTATATGTATAATATTGCCTTATAATAACAATAAAAAAATACTTAAACCATTAAATCCAATATGAACTAAACCAACATAAATTGGTTTCGATTATATTTTTTCTTTTTCTTTTTCAATCGAAAATTATCAAAAGCCCAACAAATCTGGACCATACACACCCTTACCTAGTGGGAACCACTGCAATTGGTGACTTGGCATAAGTAGGCATTTTAGGAAGCAACGCAAATGGTAACTTCCTATCATTGTATTGGTATAACCCCAACACGTTATTTACATCTTCATAAACTAATTGCTTTTCGTTTGTTTAATTCCATGTGAGGACAAAGCATGAAACTATTCCCAACACTTCCACGTAGCAAACACTGTTTGAATACGTGGAGAGTGATGGAGGAGTAGAAAACACGTGGAGGGCAGGGATGATCATAAAGCATTAGTGGGAACATATATAGTTATGATTCCTATAAAATCAGTTACATTGAAGTGAGGAGCAGTGGATTGTCGTGTGGTCATATTTTGGTCTAGAAGATGTGTCGATTTGTTTACAGAAACTGGACAGGGAAGATCCACTTAAATGGTAAAAGAAGATCACATGGGATTGTCGGTTTATGAGAATAAAATTATAGGATTGAGATAGACAACGGATAAGCCTCTTTATGTGAAAACAAACAGTCTTGTTTCAGTGTATTTGGGCTTTAGTGCTCTTAACCTACTCCAGGCCCATAATTAGAGGGAAATATTTGCAAAACAAAAATGTTTGGAGATGCGGGGGATCGAACACCGTGCCTCTCGCATGCAAAGCGAGCGCTCTACCATTTGAGCTACATCCCCTTTTGCAAATTACGAGGCATTCTTTAATTATTTATCTAATTTAAACAGTGGTCTAATACCGAAAAGTCAAATGAAAGAATTCCTAGTAGCAGTCGGGCGCTTGTTACGAGTTACGACTTATACAAATGGTTTATGGAAGGGAATGGCAATATTAAATGAATTTGACCCAACCACCATATATTTTGTGAATGTTCAAAATTTTAATCAACGTTGACCAAATCAATTCATCTTCCCGTACCCGGATGTATATCTACATTGTTTATACTTGGGCTTAAAAAGAACGAAAAAAGTTTAAAGTAGTCATGAAATACGACGCATTATGCTACCAAATCATTTATCTCTTATAAATAATCACAAGATCTTTTCAATAATACGACGAAGATGACCCGCCGTCTGTTCCTGTAAGTACAGTCAATAAACAAAGCTGTCCTGGGCCTCCTGGCATTATCAATCTCCACTGTAGTCTATCACCCTATCTCATCTAAATCTAATTATCTTCAGTTCACCAAGTCATTTCATCCAATCACTCATATATCCAACATCACGTCTCTTCCTCACCACCGCTGGCGGCTCTTCCGCCACCCACCGTTGTCCATTCAGATGAGATTCATCGTGGTCCTCTTCATCATCGGCTCTTTTGTCTTTCCAACTTTTGCCGTCGACTTTCTCTTCAATTCTTTTGGTACCATCACCAATGGCACCGACCTCGTTCTCATCAATGACGCCCGCCTTGAGTCCTCCGTGGTCCGACTCAACAACGATTCCAATCAGTTCTCTTTCGGTCGGGCTTATTACCCAACAAAACTGACAATGAAACCCGGTGACAACTCCACGAATATCACTTCTTTCTCAACTTCATTTGTATTCTCCGTGTTGCCAGAGATCGCTTCAAGTCCAGGCTTTGGCCTTTGTTTCGTCCTCACGAACTTCACATCTCCGCCTGGTGCGCTTGCTAGTCAATACTTTGGTCTTTTCACAAATGCAACTGTTCCAACTGTGGCTCCACTTCTAGCGGTTGAATTTGATACGGGTCGAAACCCGGAATTCAATGACCCAGATGATAATCATATCGGGATTGATCTCAACAATATCGAATCGGATGACACTGCCTCAGCTGGGTACTATAGCTCTTCAAATGGGTCTTTTGTGCCGGTCAATATGAGGAATGGGCAGAATATTCACGCTTGGATTGATTTTGATGGTATCAATTTTGAGATTAATGTCACGGTTGCACCTATTGGTGTTTCCAAGCCGTCTAGGCCTACCCTGAATTATAAAAGTCCGGCTATTGCTAATTATGTTTCTAGTGAGATGTATGTTGGATTTTCTGCATCGAAGACTAATTGGATTGAGGCACAAAGAATTCTTGCTTGGAGTTTGAGTGACACTGGGGTTGCTAGTGAGATTAACACTACTAATTTGCCGGTTTTTTCTCTACCATCTTCATCTTCGTTATCAGCTGGAGCTATTGCCGGGATTGTGATTGGTTGTGTTGTTTTTGTGGTCATTTGTGTATCTGGGTGTTACTTGGTTTGGCGAAAGAACAATTTGAAACACCAAGAAGAGGACGAGATTGAAGATTGGGAACTTGAATATTGGCCTCATAGGTTTTCTTATGAAGAACTAAGTCAAGCCACTAATGGATTCTCTGAAAATGATCTTCTTGGTTCTGGTGGATTTGGGAAAGTGTATAAAGGAACTCTTCCTAACAACACAGAAATAGCTGTAAAATGCGTTAACCACGACTCTAAACAAGGCCTAAAAGAGTTCATGGCAGAGATTTCAAGCATGGGCAGGCTTCAACAAAAAAATCTTGTCCAAATGCGAGGGTGGTGCAGAAAAGGCAATGAACTTCTACTTGTTTATGATTTCATGCCCAATGGCAGCCTCAACACCTGGATTTTTGACAAACCCAAGAAACTCTTAGGCTGGAAACAACGCCGCCTAGTCCTTGCCGATGTGGCTGAAGGACTCAACTATTTGCACCATGGCTGGGATCAAGTAGTACTTCACAGAGACATTAAGTCTGGTAACATTTTACTGGACGCCGAAATGAGAGGCCGACTTGGAGATTTTGGTCTCGCAAAACTATACCAACAAGGTGAAGTACCTAACACCACTAGAGTGGTGGGCACTTTGGGGTACTTAGCACCTGAGTTGGCAACAGTTTCGGCTCCAACTTCAGCAAGTGATGTGTATAGTTTTGGGGTGGTGATTTTGGAGGTGGCCTGTGGAAGAAGGCCGATTGATATGACTGCTGAGACAGATGAAGAGGCGGTGCTTACTGATTGGGTGAGAGAATTTTATGGGCAGGGAAGGATTTGTGAGGCGGCGGATGGGAGGATTAGAGAAGAGTATGAAGTTGAAGAGATGGAATTGATATTAAAACTTGGTTTGGTTTGTTGCCATCCTGATCCACAAAGGCGGCCTAGCATGAAGGAGGTGGTGGCTGTTTTAGTTGGTAAGGAGGCGGCCGCCACACCTAAGGAATTGTTGGGTGAGTTGGCGGGTCGTGAGGGTAATTTTGATGATAATGGTGGCGAACCTGGCGGTCACAGTGGTGGAAGTTTTAGAGAAGAAGAACCACTACAACCACAACTCCCGGTGTGAATAGTTAATTTTTTTTTTCAAACGTTCATGTAACCATTATTTGTGAAGAATATATTAATTTGATATTTGTTTGTATTATGCCATAATTCAACCAAGAATCATATTCTCGAAGGTAAACATCTCTGATTATTCCTCTTCCCCCAACTATAATATTCTCCGAGAAGATATGTATTTTACATATGGCAATAAAAGAAAGCTTTATTTACGGCCTCACTTTATTTTTGACAATTGGGTGAGGGGAAAAACATATTCTTGCTTGCTGGTAACCATTGTAGCATTGACTTCTTCAATGCGAAGTTGGTGGGAAATGTATTGGTTTTGAGTACTTCTCCTCAAGGTATTGTAAAGAAAAAGGATAAATGAAAAGGGATGCAACTATATTTTATCATCTATAGCTAGCTGACATTGTGAATTTGACTTTTGGAGAAGTTGAATTAGGCGCAGTTGGGTTCATACTGATTAAGTATGGTTAGCATACTTTAGACACAATTTGGTCATAATTAGGCAATCGTGGGCCTGGATTCTTTGTTGAAAATGATGTGGTGGAAACTGAAGCGCAGCCACATCTGCAAGCATATATTCTCTAAGATTTACCGGGGTTCATGAATCATGATTCCACCACATGAAATAAAGAGCTAGCTATCACGACTTAGGAAAAAGTTGATGCTGATTTTTTACTTTATTGAACTCCTATTGTCTTTTCACACTGAAATGATAATGGTTTTAACTACAATTACCTTAATGACTGACATAATACAATACATAAAACAAACTGATTTAGACAGTCTATATTACAATCATCTGGGGTGAAGTTGGGAGTATAACAACATTTGATGATGAGACTAGAGTGTGAAGTTGAGGGAGTGGAAATTGAAGTATGGATTCTTCTTGGCAGTTGCCTTGAGACAATGTGACTTCTGCTGGCACATCAATGCTACTGAATCTTTCATTGTTACCGGTCCACACACCAAGACTCCAATGTCTAATCCTCCAGTTTCAAACTTGGAGAATATTTCTGTTTAATATGCCATATGTTAGAACTCAACCTCTTATTGAATATTGAAAGTGAAAATGCAGATACAAGGATGATGGGAAATGGAGAATATAAGAGTACCTTCGAAATTAGGTCTTCCTTCAAAATGAATTTCATGTTCCTCAAAAGGACTCATTGTTGCCATGCCTTTGCTTTGTTTTGGGGAGACAGGTGGAATCTCTTTCTTCAGTCTCCTCCATCTTAATATAATTGCCACCAAGGTGCTACATGTTATAGCTATTATGAAAGAAAATAATATAATCAGATCAGCAACCCAAGATGGAGTCTCTTCTTTAGGGACCTTCTCTTTAGAGCGAACAGCCAACTTCTCAGCAGCAACACCCTTCTTTTCAGAATGAACAAAGATGTGATTGAGACAAATAAGAAAAATAAGGAACACGCTAGAGCAAATTCCAATCAGTCCAGCCATCCAAAGTGAACTTTCAATTCCATGCACTGCATAATTTGATTTTGTACTGAAGCCAACACTTCTAACAAGAGATAAATCATTTAGTAGCTCTCTTACGGTGACACCAGACTGCTCTTCTTGGGTCACAAATGCTTTTAGCTTCAGATTCCATTTTTCATGTGATTGGCTCAAGAGTAAATGAGAAATCGAGTTTAACAGGCAAATGTCTTGGGATGATTTTACAGCATATATAAGCTGTATTTTAGAGGGGAGTTTATATTTGCTGCTGTTTTGAGCCGAATAAATTTCCTGCAAAATGCTCAGAAATGGGGTTATCCCAATTCCACCGGCTACCAGAAGCAGACTGTCATATCTGCTTAAGATTTCAAATTAGTAATATTAATGGTATTTAAATAATTTCAATAAATCATTTAAACAATGTAATATGAGTTTTACTGAACCTTAGGAAGTCCATTGATGCCGGTCCATATGGACCTTCAATTGCTATAGGTATGCATCTCGTCTCATCAGCATGTGAATCTAGCTCTTCATGAATCATGTGGTAGAGTGAATTTGTCCACTCCCCTTCACATTTAACCATGAGAGACAGTGTGTGATCATCAACACTAGAACTAGAAGTAATACTGAAAGAGTGCCATTGAAATTTTGAAACACTTGGTATCTTCATAAATAATATACTTGTTGGGGTATACTTCAAGCCTGCATTGGGTAGGAAAGCCTCTTAATGGGAAACTAGTATTTCATGAAATTGTAATGTATAACTATTAGGGGCTTGAAACGTTACTTGGATCCTTAGGCAGAATAAGTTCAATAGCTTTGCTGGGGAACACTCGTGCTGAAAGAATGCTTGATTGTGGTCTTGATTGTATGATTCGGAGCAACTTGTCAAGGCCAAAGAGAAATATCCCACCAAAAACCATATAGAAGTGACGATCACCAGCATGAAACAAGAAGAAAATAAGGAAGATTATGTACAAATGGTGCGTGTAGTAGAACAATTCAAACTTTTTCCTCCTTATTTGAGGAAGTGATGTGATCCATATCACCAATCCTGTAACAAGAGCAGTCTCACCAGCAAGATATATCCGACCTGTTCTCTGCCATTTCCACATCTGTTGGTGAAAACATAGAGGGAAAGTCAGCAAAGCAAATTTATATCTTCGACTGAATGTAAAATTCAATGGTTGATATGAACTAGAAGTTTGTTCCCAAATGTGAAGGACCCGGAAATTGTACCTCATTCTGAATGTTGTGGCTGATGCCCCAGACAAACAAGGTGCTTCCACCATGGACAGTGGCAAAAAATATCATTGCAGTTCCAAGCCAAATATGGTATCTCACTGAGGCTTCAAACTGGATGCCAAGAAACCGAAATATGGATAGACTCCTTAAGACAGGAAGAAGAAGCAAAGCCAGGCAAGCCTCTGCTAGCAAACCAAACCGAGTTGCCACTCTTAGATACTTGAGTTGCCATCTGAAATAGAGCTGAAGCATTAATACTGTTGAAAATTCGTGTTTTTTAGTATCTCAGACTTTTTATATATTTACAAGAACTCACATATCTAGTTTCAGGGATTTGATAGGCATCAACTTCTTGAGATCATTTGAGATACGGGCATAAAAAGTCCATGCTAGAAATACGATAAACAGGGAGACAATCAGAATCTCGATGCTGGATATAACACCCACAATGGTGTTCACAAGAAGTGGATTGGAGAGAAAAGAGGCTGAACTCCTGCCTTGTCTATCATCCAAGGTTAAACAAAACAATATGTAAACTTTATATATTTCCAGAAACAGTATAAGTCAATGATACAGCTATGTAATTACCTGCTTCTTGGCTCTCTGGGTATCAAATGCAAGAACACGGATCCGATAATAGCCAAAGCAACAACAGGAAATGTATAAACAGCAAAATTAAGACCTGCAAAGTTTTCTCTATAAGCTTTATGTTTTTATGCGTATTTTACCTCGTCATCTATGAATTAGCATTCTTATGACAACTGCATCAACACTTCTAACAGTAGATGAAAGAGCTAGCTTTGTTAATAATATTTATGAAAAAGGAGTCAAACCAATTTAGATTAATCTCAAAGCATGTATGTACCATAATATCCAAATACAGTAGGCCTAGCGCTATCTTCAGCTTCACGCCATTTCTTTGTCCACAGCTGTGTTGGCTTTAGAAGCCATAGGGAGATCCAACCAGCACATATCAATATCATCAATACTTTGAGCACAGCTAGAAGAGTAGCTTTTCCCATATCTTACTACGAGGATAGCTCTTGACTTCATTTAATATGAAAAGGGTCTCTATATAAAGAAGAATTGGAAACACTAGGAGATAAAAAAGGTTGTACTCAGCAGCCCCAGTGCCCCACCACCTTTCATGAGTGCTCATTACATGCGTAGCCACTTCCTCATAATTGGCAAAAGAAAATCAGAAACTCTCTGAAATGCAATACCTAAATTTTATCCGTATCTTTTCATATTCAAGTTCACCATCATTTAGAAGCTCACATTCTGGCCTAGAGGGGGTATTATTGCTAGCGAAATATGACCACCATAGGTTATCCTTCTTGTCTCGGCTTGACAGCTTTAGATTTTGATTAGCTCTCTGTTTTATGATTATCCTTTTTACTCTAACAAATGGTCCCTATACTGGGTAGTGGATAAAATTCAATATTGATTTTCATTGAATTAAACAGAATCATATAGAAATTGTCAGTATAATCCACTCCGATGTGGGCCAACTTGGAATAAAATTCATACAAAGTGGTGGGCAGAGTCTTCTCCAGATGCCTTAAGTGGGATATAAATTTAGTACAATGGTTATCAGGAAACAACTTTAACAGAAACGTTAGTAAATTGAACAACATAATTTGACAACTATGATATGACTGCTTTGCTAGAAAACAGAAAGAATAGTAGGCAGCATAAATTGAATGGAATTTTGGGTCCATCTTATTTTATGGCAAATTGCATCCCAAGTGTTCGATATAAATAGGAAGCCAACTTCATAGTGAGATGTAAATTAATACTTATCATTATTGGATTTCCTCCACAATCCACTTTCTTCAAACACCCAATTTTAGCTTTAATCATGTTTATCAAATTCTCATCATTAAATGGCGTAGTGCAAATGTGCAAGGAATTGATGACATGTTTTGTTGATGCGTGATTTTGACACCAACTAAATGCATGTGTGAAATGCTGAGTTGACCCAGAAGACACACGTGAATGGGGGATTGAGAATGTAAATGATGGAAAGACAATGTTTAAAGTGGTTCGGATGCTTAAACAAGCGAATCCTATGTCAACTGATATTGTATTTATATTTGAAGGATAAGGTCACGGCTTAGCGAGCTGACTTTGGGTATTGAGAATACCAATGAGAGAGAGAATAAGCTATTACAGAGTGAAACTATCTAATCAAGAGTGAAAATGAGCGAATCCCATAAACGGGAGAGAAGATCTCTATTTATAATGGGATACATTGAGGTAATGATTACTGAATCCGTAAAAAGGGGTCAGGTATCATGCAAATCCTTCTTTGCGTCCCGTTATTCACCTACTCGCGTGATTTCCTCGTTTCATGTAGGAATTGGACACGTGGACGGTCTCCAGCCTCTCAACAGTCTGGCGTGCACCCACTGCACTGGCAGAAACATGCTGCTCAAGCCAGCATGCGACATGGCCGTGCCTGAACGGTTGTAGGATCTACCTAGACTTTGACCATTTATGCTAACTGGGCTCTGCGTCAGTCCTATTTTTCTAGGCATAACATGTTTCATTGCAGAGAACTGGGTTGGATCAATTACTGAAGTGAAAAGTGCAAGAAGCAATACAATAAAAGTAGTGGAACAAACATCTTTAACATAATTTACAAGGAAAACAAACAAACAATTTATAGAGAATGATGACAGCACACATACCATAATGTTGAGCAAAGATGAACATCATCCTCCTTTATTATTTTAAATACTATTATCGCTCCTCTGCTTGTAATTGTGGACCACGCCCAAGTGCAGGTCAATGTTTACTGCAACATTGACGAAATTATTTTATCCAATTTTAACAAACCGGAGGATGAACCAAGAATTCCGCCATAAATAAAAGGATTTTGAAAACAGATAATATTGTCATTGATGTTCAGTTAAGTCAGACTGGGGCTGCTCTAGAGTTCAACGATTCATGTACATAATATATTTGGAAGGGCAGGCTTAAGAGGCCACCACAAAAACCAATAAATATTGTATTATGTATGGCTCAATAGGTTAGTGCTTCCTAAAATTTACTTGTTATTTATTCCATAACTTACCCACAACATTTGTGAAAATTAGGATGCTTTAGGTTAATTGTTTTAACGTTTTTAATCGAGTAAACCACATGTTCCCACCCGAGGTTTAGCAAAATGGTAAGTTGATACTTTTGGTTTCATTTATTCCAGATAACCATCAAGTAATACCGTTTGCTAAAATGTCATATACATTGTAGCGATGCGCACTTTAGCATGGCGTTTTCTTTGGCGGGAGGTAAGCTCATGTTAGCAGTGTCCAAGCTGATAGTTTTTGACTTTTTTCGGCCGATTTCGAAATCCAAAATCACTTCCGAAACCATTGTTGAACTACTCAAAACATTCTCTACAAAACTCATTCATTCACTTGCCAATTTGCTCATCGTCTTTGACCACCTCCATTCTCGCCAACTTGTGAGATTTAGGGGTGTTCAAAATCAGTTAACTGATTTTGAGAACCAAACGGTTTTTCGGTTCACAAATTTTCTTGAACCTAAATTGAACCGGTTAAGGGGAAAATCGGTTTTTCGGTTAACCAAAAAACTAGTTAGTAAAATCCGATTAACCGGTTCAAAACCGGTTTTAATTTAATATTTTTTATAATAAACTATATTTTCTGTGTTATATTTTAATTTAATATTTTTTTATAATAAACCATATTTTTTATGTTATATTTTAATTTAATATATATTTTTTTATAATAAATTGGTTAGTAAAATCGGTTTCAGTTAACCGTTTCCCATATTCTCTCAAACTGGTAACCGAACCGAAAATTCAGTTTTTTAGTTTTTTTAAATCGAACCGGTTTTTTCAGATAACCGGAAATTTGGTTCGATTCAATTTCTGCATTTTTTTAACACCCCTAGTGAGATTAGGTTACTTCTTAAGCTTTTTCCGATTGATTTGGGTACAATTGAGCTCTCCAAACTTCACCACCAACTTCTTCACCATCATATAATTATTGTGATGTGTTTTTTGGCCATTGGTGATTCCCCAATCGTCGAAAATCGAAGCCCAAATTAGTGCCATAACTTGCTCGATTAAAGTCCTCATCCAGATACTGCCCAAAAGCCAACCCCATCACCACCAAATTACCGGTGTTACTTTAAGAGTAAGAATCTGGAATAAATGAAACCAGGGGTATCCAACTTGTCATTTTGCTATACCTCGGGTGGGAAAATGTTGTTTACTCTTTTTAGTTATTACAAAAATAAAAGTTTATCTTTATAAACAATGTAGTTTATATGTAAACATTATAATAGAGTAAAATACACTGAATATATGTTATCACTATGTTAAAATTTATATGAAGATAACAATTTTTAACATCTGCTAATTGACACCTATAAATACTTTAATTTATTTATAGAGAAAAGGATTTAAAGTTGAATATCATGAAGAATAAAATATCCTAAATTCCCATAAATAATGAAAAAAATCAATTGAAATGAGTTCGGTACAGAATGAGTTGTAAGAAGCCTTATAATTTGATTGTGATAGTACGCGTTCAATGGAGCATCATGTTAATACTTAGAGTATTTTTAATTGTGCTCTTTATTTTAAAGAGTATATTTCATATAAATAAAGAGTATCTTTATTGATTTTTAAATATAAAAAATAAATTTTTTATTCAAATCCAATAGACTCTTTCAATTTTAGGAGAGAAAATATGTTTTTTCAAGAAAAAAACTTAATAGGAGAGATAAATCATAAATAAAATGCATAGAAATTTATAATTTAGTATTTAAAATTAGGATAGAGAGTGAATTATGACTCTCTAAATGTGGAGAGTCAAATTCACTATTTAATTTATATTTAAAGAATAAAGAGTCTGTTGAACTCTTGTTTTTATATATAAACTCTTTATAATAAAGAGTTTTGATCATTTAAAAAGTCATTTGAAGATGCTCTTAGTGACATGAACATTAAAATTTTAAAGAGTAAACGATTTTTTTCCACAAAAAGGTTTCAAAATATTAATATTCAGTTACTAACCAAAGTCAATTTCGATAGACAAAATTCTCTCTGTCACCACCATTTAAACCTCCGGTCTTCTCTCTATAAAACCCTTCTCATTTCGACACTTGATTTTTCGTCGATTATCAGCCTTCGTAAAACTAAGGTTTTATGTTCTTAGTTGATTTTCAGTTTATTCTGGTGATAAATATTCAATCAGTTATCACAATTCGATCCATCGATTTCCTGGTAATTCGTCGAATATAGGCTGAAAAAGTAAAGTGTATTTTAGATATTAAAAAAATATTAACTTTGGGTACAAAAATGATATTTTAAAACTTTTTTGGATAGAAAAGTGTCGTTAAGGCAAAACCTTGGGTGAAAAAATTGGATTTACTCTAGTTTTAAACACGTTGCTCACTTTCACGTAAGTGCAGTGACTTTTTTTTTTACTTTCAAAAAAGCAAACTACAGCCGTTAACGTCAACCTGCCAAGGCCTCTAAAATAAAAATAAAAAATGGCAATTCGTGATTTTATCTAAAAGACTGGCTACTTCTCAGTTCTCACCACTAAATCAATCTGTGTTCTCAATGGACAAATTTTTCAGTTTAAATGGCGGTGACGAGAAGTCCTTTCATCTTCGTAGTATGGGCCTTCCCCAACCTTCAGTTTCTTAGCTCATTATGTCTGTGGAAAAGTTACGCAAGGAAATAGACAATACCTCTTTTTTCTTTTGAGTATTTACATACACAGACAGTGAGTGAATGATCATTATCTTCTAAAAATCTACCAACACAAACTAAAAGATAAGTTTTCCTCCACATAGATCTAAACAAGGTTTGATCAAAATGAATTATAGAGATAGACCCATCTTCATTTCACATGCACCACTTGGATGATAAACGTTTTAGATGGCGACAGAGCACTAGAAAGAAAGAAAATATCAAAATACCAATCAACATTTCTTTTTACAATTTGTGATTGAAATGTGAAGCACATTTTCTGTAATAATTATGGGGACACTCAACACTCTGCACACTGCAGAGGATTTCCT